GTACGGTTACACGCTTCGCACCTAATTATTTCTCTATCACGATTTATGCACGGAGGTGAGGCGCGACAACGAGGGTATTTTTTTGCGCAACGATGTCCCCTATCATTTCCGAAAGCCCTCGTTGCACGTTTCGCAGTAACCGCCGACGCGAACCGCCTGCAGCTCTTAAATTTAATATAGGGTTATAATAACGTGAATTCTCATAATACATTATATTTAATGTATACGAAGGTTCGCGTCCGAGGGAGGCGAGTAATGCGCGACCGTCGTACCTCGGTTTTTCACCTCGGCCAAAACTACTAAAATTATAAATTATTATAGCGATATTTTCCGCGGCGAGAAACTGTTGAAAACGCTCGATTTCATTATATTCGCAACCTTCCTCGGGGATCACGATACCCGCGCTCCTCGTTAACTCAATCGCCAACTCACGCTGTAACGAAGAAGTCGCGTATCTTACGAATTCCCACCGTTCGTGCAATTCTCCCGTGCGCAGAGTACCACGCTCGCAGTAAATCCTCGCCGTTATGAGGGAGCGAGGAAGGCATAGATTGTCGGAATTTTTTATTTGTAAAATCGAGCGTTTCGCGACGCTTTCTCGCGTTAATTTATTTGATCCCCCGCGCCCCAAAGGTTGTGGGTTAAAATCCGCTACGTTAAAAATGCGTATGGTGAAATCCATCGCGATATCGAAACCCCCGGCGCTTTGCGCTACCGAACTCACGAGTTTCCATATGTACTCATGAGTCAAGTCTCGCGCCAGACGAAATGAAAGACCTGCAGGGCCATCCGATAAATTTGGCGAATCGAAGGATAACCCCACGTAATCGCCCGGTCCGCTCAAACGTATCGCATACGCATGAATTTCGCGAAACGCGTTTTCTAAATAATTCACGATATCGCTAGCACTCTCCGCGAGAGGACGTATCGCGAATGTCGCCTCCCTACCTAGTACTTCAAATTTTTGAAATTTACTCAAGTTTTCCGCCCGTAATACAATATAAGTGAAATTTTCACTGACCGTGTCGCTGTCATCGATCGCGGCATCCTCGTCGGTTAACCGGTGCTCCTGTTGCTGCTGCTGCTGCTGCTGCTGATGTTGCTGATGTTGCTGATGTTGCTGCTGGTGATGCTGTTGAAGATCCGTCGAATGGTTCTGAAGCCGGTGTAAATAACGATCTTCTTGTTCTTCTTCTTCGCGTGAAACGCCTCCTCCTGTTTGTACTGAAAATGGGAAACAAAAAATATTAATGATAAATATTTTAATTATACTCGATGTTATGTTAGCGAATAGATTCCAGCATACCAAAGGTATCTCTTATCTTGAGCAGCTTTCCTCTTCGCTTTTACAAAGCTTTTTTATAGAGCGTATTAATCTAGCAAAAAACATTTAATTATAAATTTATCGGAAAGAATAAATTATCTTAAAATTTAAAAATAATATTAAATTTACCTTCATAATTTTCCGGAGAATAGCCCGTCCATGTTCCGCATTGATGGAAAACCTCGATCTCTTCTTCTAAAAGCCCATCGCACATTTGCTCAAAGGCTCTTCTCCTGTTTTCTTCGCCATCGTCTTCTTCCTCGTCATCGTTATCGTCATCTTCTTCTCCTTCTCTATCTTCTTGTCTTTCTTCTTCGTCAATTTCTTCTCCTTCTTCATCTACATCTTCTTCTTGTTCTTCTTCTTTTCCTCCTCCTCCTCCTCATTTTCTTGTTCTTCTTCTTTTCCTCCTCCTCCTCCTCATTTTCTTCTTCTCCATATTCAGATTCATCCAGATCGTTTGCTTGTACTAAAAAAGAAAGAAATCGTTAATATTATTATCTTTTTTTAAGAATTAGCTAATACGAGTTTTATAACTTTTATTATTTTAAATAATTACTCACGCGGTGTGTAAATTTCGGTGTCGGCTTCGCTCAGAGTCGGCTCCTCATCGCTATTTTCCTCCACATCTGAAACAAAATTAAGCTTTTATTAATTGAATTCGATATTCTGTGAGATAATTTTGAAAGCAATACTTGCTATTTTCTTACCTGAAACCAGATCAACCGTTGGGAACCTCCTCCTCCTCCTCAGGTTGCACGTCTATCCGCATTCGCACTCGTCCTAAAAATTCGATATTTTAATTTAAAAATCTGAAAATTTAGAAATCTAGATTTTCAATTATATCAATTTTCTATTATTTACTTACGATCGTTTACTCCTTCCACCTCATCTTCGGCGAGGCGTCTCAATCCTCGTAGTTGGTACGGACAACCGCGATGTTATCTCTCGCTTAAAAAAAAATATTTAAATTTAGAATTTTTTATACCTACATATTCTAATTTCAATTACTTTAAAAAATAAATATTTACCTCCTCCAGTGCACCTTGTAAAATAACCGATATGTCCGCCGGCATCATCCTCCCCCACGCCAACCATTGCACCGGTTATGTATTTTTTTACAATATTTAAAAGTCTTTTGTCCGCGAAATACCCTAATCTGAACATAATGCTCAATAGGGTTTTCGAGCACTCCGGTACGAATTTTGCAAACGTGATGTAATTTGCTTCTTCTTCATTTGTTAATAGTGAGATATAAGCACTCGCGTTTATCGTCGGGTTGATATTCGCGCACACGATAAAAAATCTTCTTAATTTTTCACTGAGTGCCATTTTTCACTCCTTCACTATTTTTTAGAATTAAGACAGCGAACGAATCGACGCAGTAATGTAAAAACCGGTCAAGTCACTCCGAGAAAGTATAATCTCGGAAATAGACTTTTCTATAATTCCGCACGGTATTTATACTTTAAAAATCTTACTCGCGCACTCCGAAAAGAGGGCGGCCCGCAGAAAATGCAGCGCCATTGGACAGGTCAAAATTTTCCTTAATACAGGTTACACTTTTTCTATTCTCTCACCTTTTCTACTATTCTCTCACCTTTTCTTTTCTATTTCTCTAGCTAAAACTTAGCTAAAAGAAAATCCGAGCTCCCCACTCAAGAAACATCTCTAACTTTCTTATTTTGTAGTTTCTAGGATTATTATTAAAAAATATTTTGCGAAGAAGTTTTAAAAGTCTAGAAAATCTAAAGTTTAAAAGATTTTATAATTTTACAATTTAAAATTTTTTAATTTTAAAACCTTTTAAAATTTTTTAAATTTTTAAATTTTATAATTTTTCATTTGCCCATCTGCGCGCGCAGTTCTTTTTTCTTAGTAGATAAGTCGATGAGCTCGACGAATTCGTCAGCCCTCGGTTCATTCGAGTGCCATCCTTCGAAGTTTCAACTTCGTAAATCCGAAGTAGTCTCTCATTTCGACGTTTGTGATTATTAGTTACATTTGAGAAGAAAACAGAACAATGGCGAGCCGAAAAGCTGTTCCCGATACCGAGAAGCGTAATACTCCGGAACCGAGCATTGCTCCCGATTCCGAGAAGCGCAAGTATATCTGCGATATTCCGAAGGAAAATTGTAACGAGGAACGAAACGACAAGTTCCATATGATGCTCTCGACATATGGACTCAACATCTCTCACACGAAAAGGATACACGTCGGATTGCAAACGACAAACGAAAGAATTTTTGTGCCAATGGTTAAATTAACCGGTAATTATGCAGAAGGAATTTATTTCGACGCTGATTCCTGGCAACAATTCCTAAACAACATGGGGCTTATCGACGAGTATTTAAACGCTAACAATAAATCGAGACCGGATCCTCCTCATTGTCAAAAATGTTGCGATCAACTTTACCTCCTCTTATGGGTTACGGTCCATATTACTGGCGTATAAAGAAAATGAAGAGGCCACTATGGAAAATATCGAAATTCAACATCGAGGAACGACTACGGATTCGCAGCCACCGACGAAGAGGCATAAAACCTATGCTGTCGCAATTATGATGCAGAAGAGTACTTTTCACGACTTGAAAAATATTGTTAAATGTGTCGACGCGCACTTAAAACATTTACAAAACGTGACCGATAATCTTAACAAATGCGCGCAATATGTTATAAAAGAAATAGAATTAAACCTTCTAAAAAGTTACATAGATAGCGATATTGTAAAACTCAGTTTGAAAGGAAATTATCACGAAATCGCGCGCAATGTACGCACGCAAATAAACGATTTAACATTTCTGGATATGTATTTCGATATAATATTTGTGGAATTAACTTTTCTGAAATTTAATGAAATTCTTCGTATTATTTTCTCAAATCGTAATTTGTAACTTTTATTTATGAATTGATATAATATGTACAACAATATAACAATAAATGATTTTGTAACTTAAATTCCTGTCTTTGCCCCTCTTATTTTCTTTTCACCCCAATCTAAAAATTAACGCGCTATGTTGCTTCGAGTTAGAAATATCTAAAAAATTTTTCAGACAATTTTTCAGATACGTTTGTTATAGAATAAGAGCTCCGAGTTCGTTAGAAAAACATTTAGTGCGAACCTGTTCGTTCCTGTTTTCCTATCGCATTCCGTTCTCGTCAGGTCAAGTATATTCCCTTCAGACTTCCCTCATCTTTCTTGTCGCAGATATCGCTTTATCGAATCCTGAGCGGTCTCGAAACAAATTTTTAAGTTTCGTTAGCTATTAGGCGTCGAGAAAGGCCTTTTGTCTTAAGAAAAACTCGATTTACATCCCCATATATACAAAGTAAATTCCTACTTTCGGAGCGTTCTGCGTATCGTACCGCTAAAATCTTTTTCCATTAGCACCGGGATCGAACATATTCCCTTCGTCGTCCTTTTTATTGCTGACGTCGTTTTGTCGGACCCACGATCGGTCCCGGAATAAATTTTAATAGTTTTTCGTTAGCTATTAAAGTGTTTGGAAAAATCTTTCGTCTTAAGAAAAATGTGTGATTTGTATCTCAGGACAAGCATATTCCCTTCAGGCATTCCTCGTCCTTCTTATCGCTGGCATCATTTTGCCGGAGTCCACGAACGACCTCGGAGCAATGCAATACAAAGAATCAATTTCCTTCGATCTAACTTCAATCCAAGTTATAAAGTCATTCATACCGTATCATACCATAAAGTTCACATTCCATTCTCGTCAATATATTCCTTCAGACGACTGTCATCTCCGTAGTCGCCATTTTATCAGACTCCAATCAGCCCGGAACAAATTTTTAATGGTTTCGCTAGCTATTAAACCTCGAGAATCCTCTTGAGAAAAATTCGATTTATTCCCCTTATATACAAAGAATCAATTTTCTTTCTTCGCTCCGTCCTGTCTACCGTACCATAAAACCGCATTCCATTCTTCGCTAGTCAGGTATATCCCCCTTCAACACCCCGGCATCCTTCTTGTCGCTATTTTATCGCACCCCCGATCAGATCACGGAACAAATTCTCCTCAGGTGTCCGCCATCTTTGCACACTTGCCATTTTGTCGGACCCAGATACTTTCATCCCCTCCCCTATCTTTTCGTCTAGCATTTCGACAACCAATCACACCCCGGGCAGTTTTGGGAGCATCCAATCACGCACGTGGGCAGCTATGGGAGCGTCCAATCACACGCCGGGCAATTATGGGAGAATCCAATCAGAACGCACCATTAATTACCTAATTATCTCCGGCCATGCCCCTCAGCCAATCAGAACGCTCCATTTCCACGTGGAGGCCCTATCTTGACAGCTGGAGGCCATGCCCCTGACGCCAGTGGGAAAGTGGTGGGGATTTGTTTTGACGCCCCATAGCAGCCCACATACTACTTCCGTAACTATTTCACAAGTCTCTCATAAGCTTTTCGTAACTCTTCCGCAACCTTTCCGCAACCATTTCGGAACCATTCCGTAACTCTTCCACAATCTTTCTGCATATCTTTGCACTTCTTTTGCAACATTTCCATAATCATTCCATAATTTTTTCACAATCTTTCCGCACATCTTTGCATCTCTTTCGCAATCTTCCGCAACCACTCCGCAACTCTTCCGCAATCATTCCGCAAATATTCCATAATTTTTCCGTATATTTTTGCATCTTTTCCGCAACACTTCTGCAACATTTCCGCAACTATTTCGCAATTATTCCGCAACTCTTCCTGCATATTCCTCGCAATCTTTCTGCACATCTTTGTATCTCTTCCGTAACTCTTCCATAATCTTTCCGAACTCTTTTACAATTTTTCAGCATATCTTTGCACCTCTCCCGCAACTCTTCCGCAATCATTCCGCAACTCTTCTACAATCTTTTCTACATATTTTTGCATCTCTTCCGCAACTCTTCCTTTAAAATTTTTGTCACCATTTAAAAAAATTTTTATTTTTAATCATACAGACTTCAAATTTAGCATTTATATATGTTTATTTAAGACTAAGATTTTGGCATAAGTATGATTTTGAAAATCCAAAAAATATTTTCAAGATCATTCTTCATTTTCTCATTTTCATGATCTATAGACCTGGAAGATCGTAAATAATGCAACTTTGTACTTTAATTTTTAAATTTTTTGTCCGCCATTTTAAAAATTTTTATTTTTAATCGTACGGATTTCAAATTTATATATGTTTATTTATATATATTGTTGTAGCCAGGTCTACAACCAATAATAAAAGTAGTCCGCATGGCAACAAAATAAGGTCGCATGAACCTCGAAAAGTCTTTCGAAAGATGACACAAATGTGTGACCGCCGAAATCGCGACCAGTCTTTCGAAAGACCGCAGAAATGCATCGCGAGAACATTGCGAAAAAGCCTATCAGCAAATTTCTAAATTTGATGATCAAATCGAGCGTAATATTGATTAATCAATATCACGCAACCGATCGACGCAATCGATCAGAATGCTGACTAGGCATCGATCAGACTATATAACCGGTTACACAAGGCATAATAGACAGAGTCGGGAAACAATCAAACATACCGTGTCGTTCGGAATCGTCATTATAATTATCGCGCAAGATATTACACGAGCGCAGCGAAGTTCACGCGAGCCGTACTATCAACGTCTCAGGTGACATACTCGGTCGACGGCCGCCAGAGTAACGCGATACGCGCCGCCGACGTTTAACCGTGTGTGAAAGAAATAATATAAGCAATATTAAATCCAAGAAATTGTGCAATTGTTAAATAAATCAAGTATCATAAAGAAAGTGTGTTAGTGATTTCAAGAAGATTCCCTTCCATTCGTTTGATCCTGCTCGGAGTCCCAACTCCTTAGGCTTAACGAACCCGACTATCTCAAAAAATTAACGTTGTAGCCCATCCGGGGTACAACAATATTTATATATGTTTATTTAAAACTAAGATTT